TCAAGGTTAAATCTGGGTTTATTTACTGGGTTTGCAATTAACACTGCTGCAGTATGAATTATTAATGCTTATTAATGCTTTCCAAACAACAGCAACCTCACCCTTCTCTGCTCTATTGAGGAGAGGAGACGAGAGGACAGGACAGGACAGGACAGGACAGGACAGGACAGGACAGGAGAGGACTTGTAGGTCATCCCCCTGGATACCCTCCAGATCTCCAACTGCTCCAGCCCCACGTGTGTCCTCCTTGCTTCCATTGCCACCTCCAGGCTCCTGTGACTCCCATTCCTCCCCCACCGCTCCCATCCTGCCTTTCCCTCCCTCTCCTGGTCCCAGCCCTTCCCTTGTCAGTCCCTTCTGCAGGTGCCCCTGACTCTTTCCTGGCCCTCCTGGAGCCAGCTGGGCCCAGCTAAGCTGGACCATCCCCAGCTCTGCTCTGGCCCTGCTCAGGGAGGAGACACGGGCTGGGGCCCTGCTCTGGTTGGGGTTTTCCTTCTGCTGCAGGAGAGGTGAGCTGGGGCCTCAGCAATGGACCTTCCAGACAGAAAGTGTTTGCCACAGCTGTTGGCAAACACAAATGCTGAGGGAGAAGCCATGTTCCCTTTGTTCCCCAGCAAACTCCACGACTGAAGTTTGGGAAACAAGAAGAGAGCAAGTTTTCCTCTGTAGCCAGGAGAAATCCATCAGGCCTTCGTGCTCCGAGGCTCCATTAACTCTCCAAGAAATAAATTAGCAGGAAATACAATACAGCATTTTCTGGGAGGTTCATTCGTTTTTCTTTATTAATTTTTCTCTCAGCACAAAAGGAAAAAAAAAAAGCAACATATGGGGAATGAGCAGGAGCTGTTTCTCAATGCCACAGCTGCCTCAAAAGGGTTTAGACCCAGAATTCAAAAAATTCATTCACATTTCCCAAATCACATTAGGCAGGTACAGATTGTTTTCATTTCTATGAATTCATCTTTTTTTACCCTTCTAAGCTCTAATAAACCAGAATATGCCAAAAATGACAGGGGGCAAAATTGCCTCGAAGTCCCAGATGGCAACTGCTTGTAACTCACCTAAATGAAAACTATTTATTTTCAAATGAAATGGGGTTTAATTCAGCAGAAAAGGTTATACCAAGACGTGTTTTGTGGACACTGAAGCAGTACCAGCACAGACTGCAAAAAGGGCACTCAATTTACTCTCAATGTTTGTTGGCAATTGGAAGAAACTGCACCAAACTCCACCAAATGTTGCTGCCACTTGGGGCCCCGACGCAGAGCAGTGACTTTGGGCAGGGCCCTCTGGAAGTCCTGGAAAAGTGAGGAACCCCTGGGAGTAGCACTGGGACCTGTCCTGTGTCCTGGAGAGTCAGTCCTAGGAGGGAGCTGGGGGGGCTCAGCCTGGAGAAAAGGAGGCTCAGGGGGGACCTTCTGGCTCTGCAACCCCCTGACAGGAGGGGGGAGCCGGGGGGGGTCGGGCTCTGCTGCCAGGGA